TTTAGAGGTCTTAAGACATTGTTCATATATGTTCTCATCTGGTATGCACAACAACCTCATGCGATAAATAGAACAGTTCTTATAGCCATTTTATAGGTGGGTCATCCGATGCTCAGAGAGCTGACTTGACTTGCCCAGATTGGACAGCTCCTAAAATGAACCTGAATTAAGATGTCCAGTTCACTCTGTTCTTAGACTGAGACTGTTGTTCCTTTCCCTCGTTCTCTGTGGTAGCCTGGGCTGGGAAGAGAAAGAAGTGGCTAACGAAATGGCTGGATTAAATCTGGGCGAAAGAAAACAAGAAGAGTGGTCAGCAGTAATTGGCCGTAGTGAGGTTCCCCCAACACAAACATTAGTGGGAGACAGGAAGGGTGCATCTCAGCCATTTGTCCAGAGTGAGGTCACTCGAGTGGGAAACAGAACTACACAGACTCACAGTGAGAGGCTGTCGGCCTCTTTTCTTCCATGCTGTTTGTGCGTTCATTCCAGAGTGAGTTTGCTGAACGTTGTATGCCGTTTTAGAGTCTTGGTTGAATTTACTAAGCCAATGAGCATTAAATGTTTGACAAGGCCTATTTGTAAAGCTCAGGCAGCCCGTTGTCTGCATGTTTCTCCCACTGCAGAGCACTTAAATAAAGTAAATCATTTCTTAACAATAGCTTAGCAGATTTAAGAACTCACCGGTTTTTCCAAAGACATCAGTTGTGGTTAGTGTAGAAAGCAGTTCCTGCTCTCCTTTAGGTAGAGAACAGTCTACGTTGTGTTCTCAAAGGCACCAGCTCTGCAACATCAGTTTTCAGAGCATGTGGGAGCTGTCTGAAAACACCTCGTGGGTGGTTGACACACTTTTAGAACATTAAATTCCTACTTACCTACTTCTGAGTGCAGCCCAGTCACCATTCAGAGGTAGCCTGCAGACCTCCAGGTGAGAGTGAAGGCCCACAGTCATGAGGTCCTTCAGTGGTGGTCCTAGGGGAGTGATGGTCGGACTGTGTCTTTCCCAAGTCCTGCCTCTGAATCTGAGGGATGCAGGAAGTGTGTTTCTTATAGAAATTTTGCATGGTGTTTCTCAAAAACAAAAAAAAATCTGTATGTGTGAATTCTTTGTGATACTTAAAGAAAATTGGTGGGGGAAGCTGTTCTTTCCAGAAGAATCTCACAGCTGTGAAACGAAAGGAAGAAATGATAGACTAAGACAGTCATCAAGGTGACAATGAATACAGACAGGAAGCATTAATAGGTGCTAAAAGCCCGGGGCGAAAAGTTTTAGGACACAGGACCATGTTATTCGCATGGTCTCAGAGTTTCACTCCCTAGTTATTTGCCATTAGGAAGAAGAAAGATGCCATTGCAATGGAGGGCATGATGTTCAGGGAACTGAACATAGTGTTACCCAGATAGAACAGACCTACCCTCATGTCTCCAGCCGTGGAAGGCACATACCACGCTGTGGCAAGCACACCATTCCTGCCAGAAGGCCTAACTGGAGCCTTATCATGAGGGCGAATCTAGACTGTGGGATGTTCCCCCAAAACACCAGGACTCTTCAGAAATGACAGTCATCAGAAAATGAAATAAGTCAATAAAAGATAAGGATGCCGCTCCAGACCAAGGAAGGCTAAAAAGACAACAGGAGAGTGTATGCTCTGTGATCTGATCTCAAGTGGGGAAGAAAAGCAGCTGTAACAAACATCTTAGGTACAACTGGAGAAACGTGAACATGAACTGTTCATTAGAAAATGTTATTCAGTATTACATTTCTTTCTTTTTGTTTTTTTTGTTTTGTTTTGTTTTGTTTTTGAGTTGGAGTCTCACTCTGTCGCCCAGACTGGAGTGCAGTGGCCGCTCCCGGCCACCGCAGCCTCGACCTGCTGGGCTCCAGCGATCCTTCTGCCTCAGACTTCCGAGTAGTCGGAATTACAGGCATGCGCTACCACGCCCGGCTGATTTTTTGATTTATTGTAGAGATGAGGTCTCACTGCCCAGGCGGGTCTCGAACCCGCAGGCTCAGGCAATCCACTCACCTCAGCCCAGTATTACATTTCTTAAATGTGATCATATTGTTATGTGGAGGAACGTTCTTTTACTTAGGAGATACTAAAGTATTTAGGGCTAAAATATCCAGACGTTTGCAACTTACTTTCAGATGGTTCTAGAAATGTGTGTGTGTATGTGTGTGTTTGTGTCTAGAGAAAGGGAGAGAGAGAGAGAAAGCAAATAGGCCAAAAATTAGCAATCGATGATTGTAGATGAAGGAGTTACAGGTATACACTGTTCTTATCTCCCAGCTTTTCTGGGAGTTTACATTTTTCTAAATAAAAATTTTAGGGGAAGTGATACGCATTTGTTGTTGTTGTTGTTGTTGTTGTTGTTGTTTTTGAGTTGGAGTCTCACTCTGTCGCCCAGACTGGAGTGCAGTGGCTGCTCCCGGCCACCGCAGCCTCGACCTGCTGGGCTCCGGCGATCCTTCTGCCTCAGCCTTCCAAGGAGCTGGAATTACAGGCATGCGCTACCACGCCTGGCTGATTTTTTGATTAATTGTAGAGATGAGGTCTCGCCTGCCCAGGCGGGTCTCGAACCCGTGGGCTCAGGCAATCCACTCACCTCAGCCTCCCAAAGGCGCGGGATTACAGGCTGAGCCACGGAGCCCAGCCGCATTTGCTGTTAAAAGAAAAACACAGCAGACAACAATTGACAAAGATAACCACAGTTGGCAATTTTGTGAGCCTCTTTCAAGGTGTTGGTTGTCAGTTCATCTCTCTCCCCATCCATTTAGGGTTTTTGTTTTTGCTTTTGCTTGCTTTTTCTTTTCTTTTCTTTTCTTTTTTTTTTTGTTTGAGTTGGAGTCTCACTCTGTCACCCAGACTGGAGTGCAGCCTCGACCTGCTGGGCTCCGGCGATCCTTCCACCTCAGCCTTCTGAGTAGCTGGAATTACAGGCGAGCGCTACCACGCCGGGCTGATTTTTGATTTATTGTAGAGATGAGGTCTCGCCAAGTTGCCCAGGTGGGTCACGAACCCGTGGGCTCAGGCAATCCACTCACCTCAGCCTCCCAAAGGCGCGGGATTACAGGCTGAGCCACCAAGCCCGGCTTATTTGCTTTTTCTTACCCTTCTTCCCACCCCCCCCTTTAATTTTTTGTTGAAGAAAGTAGATCTTTTGTCCTCTAGAATGTCCCACATTCTGAATTTAGCTCATTGTGTCCTCATGGTGTTTAACATGGTTTTCTTTCTTCTATATTTCTTATAAGCCAGTTGTTAAATCTAGATACTTGATTAGATTCAGGTTCTAGTTTTCAGTTTGGGGGTATTTTGGCAAGACTATGTCATAGGTATCATAGGTAAACTCTGTATTCTCTATTGCATGACAGCTGATTGTCTTTTTTAATTAAGTCAAGGCATTTACATGGTCTCAGAGTCAGAAATATAAAGGTTCATTAAAGGAAGTCCAGCTTCCAGCCTTGTCCTGCCTCCCTGCCTCCTTCCACCCTTATAGGTAATTATTTTTGTGAGCTTTGGGGTTTTTCCTTCCATTGTTCCTTACTGAAATATGAGCATATATAGTTGTATTTTCCCAATTTCTTACACAAAAGCATATTGTGCACACTCAAAATATATCCTTGAGATTCTCCATATCAGTACATAGAAATCTTTGTTTCTTTTATAGCTGTGTCGTAATCTGTTAGATGGGGTATTGCTGTATTTTATCCACTTGTCTCCTGTTGGTAGACAATGGGTTTTTTTTCCATGGATCTACAATACATATTACTGAGATGAATAGCCCCGTGTATATATCGCGTTGTATTTTTGTCAGTGTATCTTTGAATGGATTTCTAGAAGTGATACTGCTTAGGGTCAAAGGACAAGTACATATATAATTTTCTAGACAGTACCAAATTCCCCATCGTAGGGATTCCCATTGGCAGCATATGAGAGATACAGCATAGCCTTGGAAAAGTAAAGCAGACCTGGATTTGAGAGTTACTTCCACTTCTTAGCTGTGTGTCCCCGAACAGTTATTTACCATCTCTGAACTTAGATTTCCTGTCAAATGGGGCTAATAGTTGTTTTGAGCATAAGTCAAGACAATACAGCCTTAAAATGTTCAGCACAGTGTGTGATATGTTGTAAGTACCCAGTAGACCTTGAGAAGACTCTTGTTAGGACTATTAGGCTTGAAAGTGAATGTTGAGTGTAATTTTATTGTTAAAGATAGGGGCTTTCTCATTTTCTAGTCTCTGCCAGAATAGTGAGAGACTAGAGAGAGCAGAGAAGTTTTGCTCACTGAATGGTGACCAGTTGAAAAGAAAAGGTAAATCTCCACTACTTGGAAAGTTTTTCAGCTGTTCAGTTAAGTCTTGGAAGGGATCAGTGATTTGGGCCCACATCCTAATCTAGCCATTGGGAGGGATGGGGGCTTTCTTGATCCTTCCTGAGGGGGCGGGGGCTTTCTTGATCCTTCTCTGAGGCCAGTAAACCAAGTCCTCAGTAAGTGCTTTGCACCTCACCTCCACTGTGAGTGCTGTGAGGGAGATTTTCTGGAATCATACTTCAAGGTGGGTTATGGTTAGGCTTTGCTCTAACTGTGAACTGAGGATAATCCAAGAATGTGTTCATCTTGAAATGGTTTTTCAGGTAAATGCAAATTAATCAAACATGCTAGAAATTTCCAGAATTCTTACATGACACAACTGAGAATTACCTATAGTTTTTGTTCTAGCGAAGTAAGTTGTGACTCCCTCACCAGGAGATTCTGTAGAACTTGCCCCAAATCAGAATTTTTTAACCATAAATGAACTTCAGAATGTCCCTTAGCCCCATGAAGTTGTGTGCAGCATTGGGGTGTAGGGTATGTGTGTGCTTGTACACATGAACGTGCATATGCTGGGGGATGCTGGGGGTGACTGAATGCTCAGATTTTGCGTTAAGTTATTAAACATATCCAGGATTCAAAAAGGTTCAGAAATTCACTGTTAAACCATATTCTTTTCTGTTTTAAAGGATGTTGCAGCTCGGGGCTTAGATCTCCCTCAAGTCACGTGGATTGTTCAGGTAATTTTTTGGTTGTTAAGGTGTAAGCTGCAGGCAGGAATATATATGATCATGAACAGTTGCATTGGCTTTAAGTAGAATAATTATTATTATACTCTTGGGTGTTGCCCTGGTAACCAGGCAGCAAACCAGCCTTATCTGCACAATTCTCCTGACATCTTCCCTTAACCCAGCCCACCTAAGCGCTGCAGCAAAACAGCCAGTGTGCATTCACAGGAGGGAGGTGGCAGGCTCTCCTGCTCCCAGACTAATTCATGTCACAAACCAAAATTTCAGCAATCTGAAAATAGCGGGAATTACCAGCGCCCCTGGGAGGCCTCATTGTGTCCAGAAGGAGATTGCTCAGCTGTCCTGAGAGCCGTGTCCATGTACATTGACCTGCAGGGAGCAATTAAGTTCCTGACAGCATCTTACACATACCTCTAGCCTTAGATGCTTTGCCAGAGGGTACAGGTGTTAGCACTAGAGTCTAGTGGTTTTAGTTTTGTTTTTTCTTTTCGTTAGTCTGCAGAATGATATTTTTCAGACCTTCTGTGTGGGGGCCCGGGGACACTTGCCCTGTTTACGTGAGTCATGGTTTATTCACATGTTAGTGGAATTGTATGCCTGTCACTGGCTAGGAAATCTGAGCTGCTCACCACAGATGATCACTTGGGGACTAGAGGTATTGTGTCTTCTTTCCTGCCGGCCACAGAGAGAATGGAAGACAAGGCAAGGATGATTTTAATGTGCAGGAGGCCAGACATAATGAAATTGATCATGGAATGCCCTGGTTTCTCTTCAGAACGAATAACTCTTTTGCCTTTTACAAAATGGATCAATTAGACCTTCTTATATTGTAAATATTGATTAGTTTACTATGCCTAGCATCATGTATAGGATATTCACCTCAGCCCTCTGATCTTTCATTTGTATAGCGGCAAAGGGAAAACAAGGAAGAATGAATACATGGCCAATTAGCTTTAATGATGACAAAGTTATTGCCAAAAACACCATAAAATGCTGTGCATAATCCTTTCTGCTGAGTTCCGGAGCCTGCCTTTTTCCCTGAGTCAGCAGTGCCCTCCACGGAGCAGAATCACATGCCTACCTGCAGGGAACCCACCTCTCACCTGCCCTGCAATGCCACTTGAGCAGGACTGAGTGGCACTGCAGTGAGGTGGTGGGGCCTGGACCCGGGGCCTGCTCCTGGTGGCCCAGAGCAGGGATGGCCTCTGCCAGCAGAGTCATCAGCTCCCATCATCCTTGCATCATCCAGTGTCCTCTGCTGCCTCATCCCCGCTTCTTTGTGTACCAAGGAAGTAGGCCAAGGTCATGTGGTCATCCTGGGGAAGTTTACCCCACCTGCCTGCATTTTCACCTTGCATAGTCACCTCTGTGAAAAGATGTAAATAGGGAAATGAAGAGACCTGTGGAGAAGTCAAATTAAAAAGGAGATATTGGGACAAGAAGATTTCTCGTTTATCTGAAACTTGGCCACTGTTCACATTTGCGTGTCAGAGCCTTGTTATTTCCAATGAAGCCAGAAGTTTCAGGGTTGAGTGACTTCCTTGTGATTGTGTTAGGGTAACCATAGCACCCGGATTTAATTCTTGGGATACCTGGAGGCAGGTGAGGGGTATTGCACTTCCAATTAATGGCAATCCCTTGATCTATGAATGCCTTCATTTTTGTTACCCTTTTTAGTACAACGCACCATCTTCACCTGCAGAATACATCCATCGGATTGGAAGAACCGCCCGGATTGGCTGCCATGGGAGCAGCCTGCTCATTTTGGCTCCTTCGGAGGCAGAATATGTCAACTCGTTGGCTTCTCACAAAATCAAGTGAGTCAGAAACCTGAACGGGGTTTCGGCTGATCTCACCTAATTAACTTTCTGTCGCTTTTTACAGCGGATGGGCCTTGTAAGCTGATGAAGAGCCATTAACCCTTGTGATCCCTAAATGAGTCCCAGAATAGCCAGTGGCAAAAACTAAAACCCTTAATATCATCAGCACATGACAATTTTCATTGCATTGCCAGACTAAGTCATAGGGCCATCAGTTGCACTTGGTTTTCTCTTAGAGGTCTGTGTTTCATTTCTCTTGCTGTGAAATAGGTGTGCACGGCTCTCACAGTCAGCTTCTGGAAGACCTTTTTTAATTCACAACTTTAATTCCTTGCAATCAGTGTTTTGTGTCTTCAAAGTTGATTGCCTTTTTGAAAAAAATAATGCTATTTACTCACCACACAATTCATCTCCCTCAGGAAGAGGCAGTTGAAACACGCTCTGCATGTTCACTACCAGGGCTTCCAGCCATCATCTTCTGTGTCGCAGTCAGTTCAGCGACTCATTCCCCTGAGTAAAACGCCGGCTGTGCTGTGGACACACATCTTAGCTATGCCACTAAATGGGATGATCTTATTTCTCTATCTTTTTCTTTGCCTCCTCCTATGTCTTATGCGAAGTGTTAAGTAAAACTCTAAGACCTTTTTCCCCCTAAGGTACAGTGCTGGGAAAAGCTTTGCATCGTACACTGGAACTAAAAGTCCTAACAGAGGCATGGAGACCTGGGACAGGGGCGGGTACAGGCCACCCATTTGCAAGAGCTGTGTGTGGCTGTCCCCACAAGTACTTGCCATGTTTTCACCCTGCAGAACTTTCCTGCTTATGCTAGTGTGACTTTTCAAGATTCCTCCCAGCTTGTTAGTGTGAACAGGGTTGTTTGTAGATGAGGGCATTCTTGGAGAGTGCGCCATGCTTCTTCAGTGTTGGGAAGCTGGAACCTGCTCCTGGGGATAATTTCAGGTTGGGCTTTCTTTTTATCTGATTTGTTCCTTAATACACTCTGTCACTTAAAGGAGTAAGTGGTTTTTAATTGTTTCAGGAAGCTATGCGTGTTATGTCTTTTTGTGAAGGAAATCTCATGTGGATCAATTAGTCACTTCTCACCCAGCACTTCTCCAGCTAGATTCAAGCTCCCTGTGGCCAGAGGCTACCCCTTCTCTTGTGGCCTTTTTAGCATCCAGGCCAGTGCCGTACCAGAAGCATGGGGAGCTGAAACAAAAGCCCATCAGTAGTTCTCTTTCTTCCGTTGGCCTGTTCTCACTGGCTGGAAGCCTGTCACAGTCTGTAGCTGGTTTTCTCTGTCACAGGACTGTGTACGTGTCTAGAAAGCACTTCCAGAATTTGGTGTTGTGGCCCCACAATGGAAAATGTAGTCATAGCACCTTTGCACCTGTTGACGGCTCCATACTTCTTTCCTCTTCCTCCCACTTGAGCCCTACAGATTCACACTCTCCCAGTCCTCTCCATCAGCAGCTCTCTGGATATTCTCCCGAGTCTATTCACTTTGACTTGACCTCCTCTTGAGAAATCAGTGAGTGATATGTTACAAACAGACGATAATAGTCTAACGCCGGAGTTAACAGCATGGGTGCTCTGTCTCTTTCTGCTCTCTGAATTTTTCTTTAATAAACACATTCAAGTTGATTGCTATGAAGGGTTCACATAGAAACCTCAATTTGAAAAGAGAAAGCAGTAATTAGCACAGACCAAATTATCAGTAAACTAGGTGTATTTTAGACACAAGTACGGTTACTCACTGTGATGATCTTGTCTGGAAAAGTAGTGTGCCATCATTTGTGTGAGTCAAACATAGTGCTCACATTAAAAAGACAGCTGAGTGATACCAACTACATAGCTTTGAAGAGGAAGTTGAGAAGTCAAGACAGGGAAGTACAGAAAGGAAGAGAGGTGGGTCTTTGGGGGAAAGACTCTTCGGTCTGGTCTAAGAGTTTTTCTGAGGAGGGATGCATCCTGTATCAGTTCCGCCTTGCTGGCTTTTCCCCTGAAAACTCACCTGCTGGAGGGCCTAGGCATGACCTGCCTTATGTGCTAAATGTAATCGGTCTAGACAGACATCAAGATCTGGATTATTACGTTAGAGCTGTGCATTATCTGCCCTCATTTCTGTTGGAGAAAGGGTTGTAATAGGATATCTCTATATAAGCTGTTTCTTTGACATTGACAAAAAATTAAAATTTTTAAAGAATTAGTTGCTAAGTGCAGTGGGAAGAAGCAGACTCGAACATTTTTGGAATCCAGGAGGTACACTCCAAAATATTATTATTAAGAGGAGGAGGAGGAACACCTGTGTGTCTGTTTTGTGCCTGAGAACATGAGAGCCAGGCAGCTGGGAGGGTTGATGAATCACAGGGAAGATTCAAGAAGGCGGGCCGAGGCTCCCAGCAGCAAGGGCCATCACAACAAATTGCCGGCTGCCTTTGCAGACCAAGTGCTGTGGAACTCACCTGACAATTTAATTTAGCAGACAGGGCAAGACACAGGTTCCCTGGGCCCTTGCCACCTCTGTCTAAGTGTTCAGAACTTGGCTTCTGCATCCTTTGACTTCTTTGTGTTCACTAACTTCTTAACTTTTTCCTCCTTTCCCTTTAAATGGGTTTCTAATGAAAGTCATCATTGGTTTATTAAAATGTAAATGCTTCATCCAAACATGTATTTCTTAGATCAGGCAGAAGACAGTTCCCTGAATTTATTTATTTATCTATCTCATTTCATCCTAAGGTGGGGTGATTCAGATCTGTTGATAGACCCAGAAATAATCACAGTAGATTTGCTTTGTTCCTCAGAAGCCACGGTATCTTAGAAAGAGAAAGAAGTCCCTTTTAAACTGTAAATCACTCCAGTTCACTCTCAGCTCCTGTTCACTTGGGGTGTGTAGTCCCTCAGCTTTGCCGTGGGGACACCCAACCTATGAGCTGCACTCTGACTGGAATAGCAGCACTTGGGTGCATTTGAGAAAACTGCCTTTCTGTGCCATATTTAGAGTTTTATATTTCTGACTGTGAATGGCATTATGCAGGATTCGACTCCCAAGTTTTTACATTTCTTACTTGTGTATTTTTCCTCTTTTTTCTTAAGAAAAAAATGATGAATAGAGGCAAATCAGATAGACACAGAAGAAGATAGGTCTGGACTCTGTTTTCATTGCTCTTCAAGTTGCCAGGCATAAATATGAGGCGAGTTCAGTAGCCGTGCAGTGCTCTCCCCTGTGGAAGGTGGATTTCCCATGAAACCATGGGCATCTCCCCCTGACTGCTGCCCTTCGGCTCGTGCTCTACCTGCTCCGATTGACTCTTGCTGCTGTAAAAGGCTTCACTTATCCATGGGGCTGTAAGTTGGCAGCTGAGAGAAGAGGCTGGGGGCTGGGGGTGTTCAGGGAGGAGATGACACATCTCAGGGAAATCGCTGTCAGAGACGTGACATTTTCATTCATAGCCTTGTCAGAGTCACCTTTGGGGGGAACGGGGAGAATTGTCTGCTCCCACATAAGAGGTTGCCATTCATGTTTTAATTTGCTGTTACATTTTCAAAAAAAAAAAAAAAACCATACAACAAAATCATTTGTCGTTTTATGATCTGTTTTTCCCCCCCAGAACTCCTCCTTCTCTTTCTCCTTCTCCCTGGAAAGTATCTTTTCAGCAGAGCGTATCTCCTCCTTTATCTTGAACACACGAGTCTGCATCTGCTTCCCACATTCGAATGTGGCCTTGCAGACGATGGGTTGATGTGTAGACTTTCTAGACACCACTGGTGGTAGGCAGGCCTGACTGTTTTGTTCTGGTTCCTGATGACTTCTGTTCACGAGTGAAGCCCAAATTTCGGCTTTAGCAGTTTGCATGTAACTCTGGAGTCATTGCAATTCTCATAGTCCTTACCCCCTTCATAATTAAGAGGCAGAAGTAACGAAGCTCCCTGAGTTGGAACAAGAGGGCAGTGTTGCTGTGGGTAGAGTTCTGTTCACTTTCTTCCCTCACTGGGATGCTCACTCAGGAATTGAGAATACTTGACCACCTTTTTTCTTTCTTGTTTTTTTTAAGGTATAAAAACGAAAGAGACTATCCAAAATGCTTTTTCTTTCCATCCATTCAAGTCAAGGGAGTATGTCAATAAGCAGGCGTGCTTTTTAGTATTCAAGATTTGTTAGGAATAGTGACACAATCTCTATTAAGGGAATTCTTTATGTTACTTCTCTTCGATTCATGAGTGACGAAGGAAGTCGTCAGCATATGTTCCTGTCCCCTTGATATCCTAGGGGTCCTCTTCCTTCTGAATCCCTAAGGGTTTAAGAAAATATTTCCTTTTCCTGAAGGCATCACTCCTACTTTATGTCTAATTTGATTGAGAATAGGCCAGTTTTATGCATTCAGGATTTGGGGTGTTTCTGAAAAAGCAAAAAGTTGACCTTGACATGTCCTTCCTTTTACAGTGTTTCTGAGATTAAGATGGAAGATATTTTGTCTGTTCTGATGAGGGATGATTGTTTTAAAGGGAAAAGGTGGGGAAACCAGGTGAGTTTTATTATTTATTGTGCTTGCTGCTAACAGACATAACTCATTTCTTGATTTGGGATAGTAGAGATTGTGTGTGTGGGTTAGTTATTTCCTCTGTCAAACAGAACATGTATTTTAAGAAGCATGAACATTAGATAAGGCCAAGTCTTGATTGTGTTTTTTTCTCTTCTCTGCTTCTGGATGTGTTTGCTGGTCTCATCCGGTTAATGGGCTGTAGTCTATTCTGGAAGTCTTCCAGGCACCAGCAGGCTCCCCAGAAAGGAGGTCCAGGCCAGAATGAGTCTGAAGGCAGCGTTGCACGCTCAGCCCTGGTGGTCCCTATCCAGGTTATCAGCAAGGACGACTGACTAGACCTGTCCATCCAAGGCAGCCTGGAAAAAATAAACATCTCTGTGTCTCCTTTCAGACACACTCAGTTCATCCATTTTTTAAAGTGTGTGCGCTATCCACAGAGGAAGAGTAAAGTTGAGATCATTAAGAAGAAAAATTTTTATTATCCATGCAGTTCCATATGGAGATTCTGAGCAGGTGCAGAGAGCCCTGAGCATCCTTCCTGCTTCTTTGCTGAGGCTGCACCCCGACTAGACTGTCATTTCCTCACCTCACCCCAACCCGTTACTTAGTATATCTCACATATGTGTGTCGAGTGTTGCTGTTTATAATTTTGTCTATGAGATGTTAATTACTTGAGTATTTTATATTTGTTTTTTTGCGCCTGAGGACAGACTGGAAAATAAGATCCAGATAGATGAGGCCTCAGAATTCCTTTTATGCTTCAGCATATGCCTTTATTTGAATCAATGTTCTCCCTTAGGCAGCGAATAGATTCGGCTGGCCTTGACTTAAGTTCTCTTAGTCCAGAGAGTATCTAAGGAAAGTTATCTAATCAGAGGAGAGGAAATAATCATAACTTCTGTTACCTGAGTGTATACTCTGGACCTGGGACTGTGCTAAGCTACTTACATGCACAGTCTGTTTTCATCCTCCTAGCTACCCTATACGATAAACATTGCCCAAGTTTATAGTTTATAGATGAGGAAACTGAGACTTAGAGAGGGTAAGGAACTTTCACAGAGCACACTAATAATCATTACTTCTGGGATTTGAAATCAGGCAACCAACTTCAAAGCACAGGTGTTTAACTATATATACCAATATGTCTTCATTAGTATTAACTAAAGCAAGAAAATGGAACTAAGTTTTTTTTTAAATAAGGCAACGTTAGCCATTTTTATGGAGGTGAAATGTCGTCAACAAATAGTACCACAACAAAGATTCCTGTGAACCAGAAAAGCTATTAAAGACTCTGTTGGTCAACACATTATTTTAAACAATACAGTATTTGATATAAAAAACCCCCCAGCCATACTAGGCTTCAAACCATCCTTTAGTAAGAGTTTGGTGTCAGGCGAATTGACCAGAAACCAGACAGATCTTCACTGGTCTTGGTGCATGTCTGCTCTTTTTGGAACTGCCGTAAATTCTGATTGAGGTTCTTTGGCCTTTTGGTAAAGTTCCCTCAGAGACTTCACTGTAGCTTCAGGACAGCTTTGTGGGACCAGGGAGCAGTAGGGCATTGCAGGGAGGCAGTGTAGCAGAATGGTTAAGAGCATGGCCTTGGTGGGTTTTTTTTCCCATGCCAGGTCTACCATGTCTCCCTTTCTTTTCTCTCATAAGCATTGTTTAAAAAAAAAAAAAAAAAAGCGTGGTCTTAGGGGCACATTCCTAATCTGTCACCAGTGTATGACTTTGTGCTAGTAGTAGGCCTTTCTGAACCTCCGTTTCTTCACTTGTACAGCGGAGATCATAATGATGTTCTTCCCATAAGGAGATTGGAAGAGTGTGTGAGAAACAGTGCTGACGCTCTGAGAGTCATGCACGAGAACAAATGGTGTTTCTTTTTTTTTTGAGTTGGAGTCTCACTCTGTCGCCCAGACTGGAGTGCAGTGGCCGCTCCCAGCCACCGCAGCCTCGACCTGCTGGGCTCCGGTGATCTTTCTGCCTCAGCCTTCCAAGTAGCTGGAACTACAGGCGCGTGCTACCACGCCCGGCTAATTTTTTACTTATTGTAGACATGAGGTCTCGCCAAGTTGCCCAGGCGGGTCTCGAACCCGCAGGCTCAGGCAATCCACTCACCTCAGCCTCCCAAAGGCACTGGATTACAGGCTGAGCCACTGAGCCCGGCTTTGGTGTTTCTTATTACTACTGTTATTATTATTATTATTATTATTATTATTATTATTATTATTAGCAGTCACATAAGTTAGTAGCAGATGTGGAATCGAAGTCCAGAACGAATGACACGAATCACAGTGCCTTTTTTTGCTGCATTATAATAAGTGGAACATTCGCATCTGCCAGCTCTGCTGAACCAAGAGCGAGCAGTAACATTATAAGATGAGACAGCCAAAGTTTGATCCAACCTAGTCGTACATGTACTCTTTCTAGGCCTGGCTCTGGTGTCAGTCTTTATCCCTGAGTACAGATCACCTCTCTCCAGGGAGTTGATCATTGTGTATGTCTGCCCAGCTTGGGACGCCGTGCAAGGCGGTGAGCCCCTCTTGAAGGACATGTCCCCAAAGAAGGGGCAGAGCAGCTGCATTGCCCTCTGCTCTTTCAGCAGCAAGCCGCAGTCATTTTTTTTCTTCACATCTGCCCTTCTGTGGCCTTGCAGCATCAATTCTTCTCCTTAAGTCTTTTCCCTGGCTTGAGGCCAGCCTCGAAGACTTCCTGAGACTTAAGGAGCCATTATAACTTCATGGGTAAGATCTGGGTCCCAGAGACAGGCAGACGTGTTTGAATCCTTGCTTCACAGCTAGTAACTCCGTGACCTTGGGCAGAGACCTTCTCCCAGCCTCAGTTTGCCCATTTGTAAGATGAGGAACAGGAGTACTTTGCCTTATAGGATTACTATGAGGTTTAAATAAGATGAAACATAAGGTGCTCTGCACAGTTCCAGACCTTGGAAATTCTTAGGACCAGAGGCTCTGTCTTATGATCTTAGCCCAAGCTTCTACAAGGTTGGATAGGAAAGAGTTGAATGCTTTGATATTTTTAAGGTTTGGTGATCTTTGTTTTTGGAAAGAAAAATTGCTAAGCAGGGTTGGGAATTTTTTATATGCCTGGTTAACATAGAAAGCTCAATTAATTGTGCGAGTTTCTGGGTGTCATGTGGCTAAAGACCTGGCTTATTGGGCCAAATTTAACTTAATTCAAAAGAAAAACTAGACTATGTGACTAATTACTAACTAGACTGTGCGACTAACTATTACATAGATGTACAGGGTAGAAGAGTATTTTATGTGTGCCATCCATGTCAGTGATTTAAAAAAAATAAAGTAAATGCTGGGAGCAACTTTTAATTCTGTGATTCATAAGAAGTACAGTATATCTTATTGTTCTCAATTTGGGCAGTTCTGTAGCTTGTGAACAAATGCTAGGCATATAAATGTAGATTTAGTAGATTGGCCTTTTATATTCTTCATATAGCCAGACACCTCATTATAATGCCCCTGTTCATCCAGCTCGATTGAAGTCCATTGTAAATGTCCCTTTGGCACACATATTTTTTTGGGCTTCTGTGAACAGAAAGAAAGCGAGTGAAGCATCTGTAAAATGTATATTTCATATTTAGGTATATAAAATATATATAGCTATGTCTGGGTGTGTGAATGTTCACCCACCTACAAAGAGAATAAATTTGATCTTTCAACTTTACTGGGAAGTACTCAGGAGGTTCTAGGGACCATGGGGGTAAAACTCAGCTTGGCAATAAAGTGATTAAAACAAAATCCTCCCATTCAGTTTAAAAATGTCTTGGTAGCTGGCAAAATCAAGGCACGTACTTTCAAAAAAGCACACATACCAAAAATACTTTCTCTCACCACTGCTGCCACCTAAAACTTTTTAACAAAAACAGTCCAGCCTGTTTATCTTAGACTCATCTGTTGCTTTCTTGATAGGTGTGAAATTTTCATCATGAAAGTATACACACCCCTAAACATGTTTTTCCTACAAGTTTTTTTTTTTGTCCCACGAAATAAGCCTGTAAACTTGTCCTAACAAAGGAACTGTTGCTGGCATTGTGAGATACAAACTGAGTTCAGAGCCCCTTGTTTTCCTGTGTGGTGGTCTGTTTCCAAGATCAGTAGGGTATTAGAGACAAAGGCGCACTGAGTGCAGATAGACTGTTGGAAATGTATTTTTCGAAACTACCCATGGTCCACTAGTTGTGAGTTAGCTTCATTAACCAGTCCTGAGTCTGTGTCTTTGAGGGTGGAAGAGCCAGTCCTGCTGGGGATTCGCGTGCCCTCGGGGGTTTGACCCACTCTCATTACAGGAGCATTTACCTGTCTGGGGCTGAGATGGTGCTGCATCGCTCTGTCCCCCTCTGTCTTCAGTTTAAATTTAGACTGTCCTCCCCAGAAGACAACTGAAAAACACCTCATTCATTCTCAAGAGGGGCAATTTTAAAATAAAGTATTTGGGGAAGTGGGAGGAGGGGAGGAATGAGATGTTTTTTTCCGAGGACTGTATATTATGTTTTGTGCCATTAACTTTTTCTTAGATTTTACTAAAACTGACCTCATCATTTCAAACGTGTGAACCCGGCTTTATCTTTTTTTCTACATATTTCACTTGTATACACACTCACATTACATATATGTAATTTTTTTTTTTTTGGTTGGGAAGAAAAGATGCCTCATTTTGAAACCTAAAGGGGGGAATAAGAAAAGCCCTTTGTAATATATTGCCATATTATCACTAAATCCCCTGACAGTTGTGACACAGAAGCAAGTCACCTGTCACTTAAGCTTGAGGTCTCTTTAATTTTCTCCTGGAATTCGCACCAGGCTGTCTTTAATTTGAGGCCTTTATTGGAATTCTGAAACCTCTCTGCCTCTCTGGCTCTCAGATCTATTCTGAGAGCTGTTACAGAATGTATACAATAACCAACAGAGGGATTCGGAGAGGGCTGGAGCTCTGTTTATTTAACACTCTAGAGGGATTTTTGTGCTTATTCGGTCCTGGCTACCCGGCTTTCAATATCGCTTTGACAACCATTCTGCCCTTCTCATTAATTTTAAACAGTTAAAACACAGGAAAAAGAGGAAAAAGTTTTCATTATTAAAGTGCTTTACTTTTTAATAACAGAGGATTCTGTCCGCCAGGGGAAAGGGCATCCTCGCTAATTTCACATTCATATTAAAAAAAAAAAAATGCAGGGAAGGTGACAGTTGCACTGCTGAGGTGGCTTAACGAAAGGAGGGCAGCAAAAAAAAAAAGTTTGCGTTTCACATCAGTTAGGCAGGTTAAAAAAAAAAAAATCCTTGTTAATGACAATAGCAAATGTCCACTTTGGTAACACAGCTCCTGAGTGACTTTTCTCCTGACATCTTAGTGGATAGAACCCTTAGGGGGACCTTGTACTATGGAATCAGCTAGACTATCATCAACCAAACAGGTAGCAGGAATGATTTGACTAAACTAAAAACATTTTCGGGTTGTTAAGTCTCTATTAATGTAGAGGTGAACATCGATCCAAAGAATGAGGCTTTTTCTTCTCTGCCCTTTGTTCTTCCTCTGCCAGCCTTGAGAGTGGAAGAGGGGCTTGGGAGTCTAGATCGGGCCAGACGCAGGTGCTGGTACCCACCTCTGCAAGGTTAGGAAGCATGACCTGGCTCTCACACTGGGGGTGGGGGTGGAGGTAGAGGCTTCCTGGCACCACTCAGGCCATGAGCATCACTTGGCAGATTGGCCCATTGGATTGGAGAATCTCTGTTCTCTTGAGTCTCCTTTTCACATTCAGTAGAAAGCATTCATATTTTAAGATACAGGAAAGAAAACCACTCGTTTTCATGGGGATATTAAGCAAGGAGATCTTTTATCTGAGACTGCTAAAAGATGAAAAGGAAATAATTGTATATTTGATCAACTTTTTCCATTGGTATGGTCTCTCCATGCGTACAGATGCTACTTCTTACAGAGGGAATGTTTGCTGCAGAGATCCAGGTCTCTGAATGTGGCTTGCTGGAACAGCCTGCTTCTTAATGGGTTCCTGGGAGCTCAGCATGGTTGTTATGGGCTGAAGGAACGAGTTGGAAACACTGGAAGCCTGAACCTCTCTAGGAACCAAGGAAGCATGCTCTGAAATTCAAGGATAGGAGTAACTCTTTTAGGCAGTTCACTGTGGAATGCTCTCTAAGAGAAACTGTCCACGTTCCACTGATGGGTGTAAGGGAAGGGAGAGGATTTGCAGGAGATACAAGTTTCATTTACAAACAACTCATGTCCAATTATGTTTTAAATGACGCAATTGGACTTGGAAAATTCCAGAATGTCTCCAGTGGTCTTTCATTTTGATCATGGGTGATAAGAGGTCAGGAAGAAAAGTAAGTAAATAAGTAAATAAATAAGTAGACCTGATCTGCTCCCTCACAAAGCCATCCTCATCTTTGCTTGACTTTAACATCTTTATAGCTCCTTTTCTTCCCTAGTAATATTGAAAGGATTACCCTTGTTGGCCCCTAGGTGGTTACTGTGTGATTTTACTGTTATTAAATCTATTATAAACTGCTTCATTATTCCTGACTCCGACTCTGTCTCTCCTTTAATCCTTCCGTCACCCTCCCAGAAATCCCATGCTGCTGGCCCCCAGGAAATCCGAGCTCGAGCCACAGTCTTGCAGACGGTATTTGAAGATTACGTGCACTCCAGTGAGAGGCAGATCTCCTGGGCAAAGAAAGGTCAGTCGATTTCTTAGGTGATTGTGGAATGGATAGCGCAGCAGAGCGCCGTCCCCCACCTTCACCTCACACCCCCAAACAGGTGGAGAGGCCAACCTGGGGTCTCTGCTCACCAGCCAAAGCCTTCAATCTCCATAATTCTGCAGGGTTTGAAAGCAGGCTCAGAAGGCTTTAACGTGATATTAAATGTTAATTTCATCCTGCCCCATGTTTTGCACAAATGAGGCTTTATCTTGGCTTATATCAGGACTAGAGCTTTGACCCAACAACTTAGATCTTAGGGATCTGTTTTTCTCTTTCTTTGAAAACCAGATAGAAGAGATGTGACATGTTAGTAGAAATAGCTGTGGAGCTGGAAATTAGACATGAAGGCGAGGGCTGGAAATATTAGACCCAAGCAGCTCCTATTTGAAGGTACAAAGACAAATGAGAAAGAACAGTGTGGAGGAAGGGCCATGGACCGTGAACCCAGTTCCTCAGAAATGTGTAAAAGAGTTGGTATTGATCTAGTATTTAGACCCTCTTTGTAGGATAAATTGACTCTTGGGATCGCCAGACATTAGGTGTAGACTTAGCAGTTCACTCAGAGCGGTGAGCAGTACACAGGGGAAGGGGGCTTACAATAGCTGATACTTTTTTCCAGCAGAATGTTTTGGCTAAAGACTGACTCGTGTGCTAATGAGACTGACTTTGTGTTAGAGAATCAACACAATTCTTTGTGTTGTCTACTATTTCGAGAAACACACCAGACTGGCTTACCACTATGGGAGCACTGTAGCATGCTTTCTTTTTTCTATAGATAGAAATTTATTGTAATTATTCATTCAATATATATTTATTGAATTGGGCTCTAAGTGCTTGGAATATGTGAGGGATCAGAGCAAAGAACCTGGCCTTTGTGGAGTTAGCATATTAGTGAGGTGTGAGGGCAGCAGGCAGGGAGCATAATAAACAAAATAAACAAATTTGATGGTCTAGTAAAAGATGATAAAAGGCCATGAAAAAAAATAGTGTAAGGAAGATGAAGTGGGTGACAGAGCAGAGTGGTTTTCTTGTTTGTTTGTGTTTTTTTTTTAAATCAGAGTTTCACTCTGTTGCCAAGCCTGGAATGCAGTGGCACGATCATGGCTCATCACAGCCTCTGCCTCCTGGGCCCAGGTGATTGTCCCACTTTAGCCTCCTGAGCCACTGAGACTACTGACACGTGCCGCCATACCACGATCATTTAAAAAAAATTTTTTTGTATAGACAAGGTCTCACTATGTTGCCCAGGCTGGTCTCAAACTCCTGGCCTCAAATGATCCTCCATCTCAGCCTCCCAAAATGCTGGGATTATAGGCATAAGCCACTGCACCCAGCCAGAGTGCATTTTATTTATTTATTTATTTATTTATTTTTTTTTTTAGTTGGAGTCTCACTCTGTCACCCAGACTGGAGTGCAGTGGCACACTCCCGGCCACCGCTGCCTCGACCTGCTGGGCTCCGGCGATCCTTCCGCCTCAGCCTTCCAAGTAGCTGGAACTACAGGCGCGCGCTACCACGCCTGGCTATTTTTTGACTTATTGTAGAGATGAGGTCTCGCCAAGTTGCCCAGGCGGGTCTCAAACCCGTGGGCTTAGGCAATCCACTCACCTTGGCCTCCCAAAGCGGTGGATTACAGGCTGAGTCACCGAGCCCGGCCCAGAGTGCATTTTAAATAGGGGGGTCAGAGTAAGCCTCATTGTGAAGGGGGTACCTGAGCAAAAATCTGAAGCAGGATGAGCCCTGGAGCTCCACAGGAAGGGTGTTCTGGGCAGTGGGAGCAGCTGGTATGGACCTGGAGGAAAGCACTGTGGGCGGAATGGGGGGGCGACTGAGGCCAAATCACACAGGACTTGGGTTTTCCCAGGAGTGAAGGGGGAGCCTGGAGGGATTTGAGCAGAGATGTGCCCTGATCTGACCTCGGTGTGGAAAAGATCACATGGCTGCTGTGTGAGGAAAGGCTCTAGAGCAAGAGTGCAAACTGGGAGCCTGCCTCACGGGCAACTGTGGTCACCAGGAAATAGTGATGAAAATGGGTTAGGCCACACCTGTTAGGACTTGTAAATGTAACTTCTGGTTGTCATCATAAAATTCAAACAGATCAGAACTGTACCAGGTAAAAGATGGAGTCCCTGTAATTGCCATTGTATCTCCTACATATATACTGTATATCCTTCTAGACTTTTCTCTAATAATATCCTGTCTTAGCATTTCCCTAAAGTGAATTCAACAATTCCTAGGGGTTTTCCTACCTCTAGAGGAGTATGGGAATATATCTCTTAAGAGAAAAAGGTATTTGTCACAGGGTAACTTTACAGACCTTTGATGAAAGTCAGGCAGATTCAGCTGGCTGTGCGATGCATAACTCGGTGTTGTGCTGCTGCATTTCAGGGCTAACAAAGTGGCAAGGAAAAGAAATCAACCCACACTGTCGTCTTTGATTTTTATGTCAGTGGTGCTTCAGATATTTTGTTGAGCCTGCAACTATTTAAGGATGTCCAGGTCATTGGAGTAGAAGTTATAGTAAGTAATTCTTAGAGAACGTGGTTTTGGGTTTTCTGTCACCATTGTCATCATTGATGTCACCTTGCTAATATCAAGAAACAGGCAGAGTTATTTCTACTTAAAGGATATTGAAGTGGGTGACTTCCCAACATTTTTGTATCATGAAGGAAATAAATATATCATTTATCTTATTTGCGAATGATTTCCACGCCAGATTGATCATAGACTTGGGACAACACTGCCTATGCCAGATCTTGGTCACCCCATTTCAGACACAAAGCTTGTCCACTGTTCTCTCCTGTTACATAGGACTGAATTTGAGAAGCTTGGGAGAAGATGCACATATTCACCGTCCTAAAGGCATTGAATTCATAACGTGGGAACTGCCCCTACACCCCATAAGTTGCTACAATCTTTTGCATTTCGATCTGCATATGCAAATTCCCCACTACCGACTTTTTCCCTTTTATGCCATTTCAGAACCCACCTCATGAATAATTAACAAAGCAGCTGGCTTTTGCCTTTATGGCAGAAAACTAGTTGGAAACTGGGCCAAGTATGCATTTGTTTTCCTTTTGCATTTTCTGACCCAGTCGTGGTTAATCACCAGCATTTAGTGGTTGTCAGTTTCCAGAAGGAGCTGCCCTTTTCCCCTCTAGTTTCTTGCATCTTGTAGCTGGGATTTAAGCTACACAAAATAATGGTAACGTGAGTTTGAATTCCAGACCCCTGAACAGAAATTTCAGGATGTAGAGTCTTCCACTTGCTGATGACCACTGCTCCTGTGGTTCAATCATGTCCGTCCTCAGGTCTCCCTGGGGAGTAGGAGCTCCCCATGTAGGATTTATGCCCGTGCTTGGAAGGGGTGCTTCTCAAAATCCAGAAAGCCCATACCAGTGATGACAAATCATTCTTCTCCCCTCAGTGGGCTCAGAGGTAGATCAGGCACTTAGCCAAATGCTTTGTTTTAAGAGAACTGTAACAAGCCACCTCTTTTCTCACATCTTTTTGGTAATTGTCAGTGTTGGTGTGTCAGGAAGATACATCTGCCTTTATTCTCTACCGAAGGGCGTGCTTGTGGGAGTGGCAGGCAGAGTTAGGAGGAGCAAGGACTCTTCACCCAACAGGCTGGAGTTCTGTTCCTTTCTACCTTCTTAATCCTAAGAGTCATCCATGAGGTACCACTGTTTCCAGTCCAGATGTCCAGGAGTGAGAAGGGACAAAATGTCCACCTGAGGTAGTTTAAAACCGATTTCCCCTAATTCACGCACCTTAAGTAGCTGGCAAGAAGCAGGAAAAAGCGACTGTAAGTACTGAACTCTAATTCCCTGTAGCTTCCTCCATCACCCCAAGCAAATGTCTGTTTTCGTTGCTCCTCTGCTTTCCACTTGTGTTAGTCCCACAGCCCCTATTCCTTCTGCACATTCCAGACACTGCCAACATGAGCCACATCCTGCCCCTTGGAAGGTCCTACAGACAGCTGCTGCTGCACCTGAAATTCCTGCTTCTCTGAATTTTCCAGACATGGGAGTCTATGCGAGTTTGTGAGGACAACCAACTGTCGCTGTCCCCAGTGAGACAGGAGCCTTGAGGACAAGGAGGTTTAGTAAAAATATGCAGTGTGAAATGCTGCCTGACCAGTTGTCTGGGGAGAAAACACTTCCTGCCACATCTCGGCAAACTCATTATCCCTGTAAAGCTGTTAGCTGGGCACCTGCATCTCCTGGGACAGACGCTCTCAGTGCTTAGCTCCTAGGCTTGGTGAGAGGAGGAGAGGAGGAGAGGTGAGCACGGTGGAAGGAAGCGCAGGGGCTTGTCTGCTTACGCAGAAGAGAGGTGTGAGGTGAAAAGGTCCAGGCCAGGATTTGGGTAACTGAGGTTTGGAAAGCGCAGATTCTTGGCTTGGCTTCAGTCTGGTTTTTTAGGCCAGAGAAAATGGGCATTGGGGAAGGAAAGGGAGTTAGAGGCTTGACTCTCCTAAGTCATTGTAGCAGCAGAACTTTCCCGGTGAGGACTTGACATGTAGCTCTGTGTCTGGGACCCTCATGTCAGAACGTTCCAAACAGGACAGACCTGTTGAAGTGTTACAGGTTTTCCTTGAAAAAGTCCACAGTTATTAAAAAGGGGAGTAAGCACAGATTTCAGAGAAGGGTGTGGAAGAGTTGCCTTGGTTATTATTTCTCATCGATTGGGAAAAGGAGTTCACTTTGCTCAGTAAATAGAGCTTTGATGGATTCCCCTGGATCCTTCCAGGAGCTGATCTGCTAAAATGACACTTTTTATTACTGTTCATAAACGCCAATCTCCAGGTGCTGCTGGGATATTATGTTTAAGCTGTGGGCAAACTTGCCAGTCCAGTGGCTCAACAAGCGAGGGTGAAGGAGGCTGGTGTTTGGTGCCTAAGATAGTGTGAGGCTGGGTTCTGGCTTGGCTGGTAAAAGGGCAGACTTGGAAGTAAAGTGAGCAGTGACAGGGACAGGGAATGCTTTTCAGGACGAGTCATTCCCCTTCACTATGGGAGGGAGAATAGTGCCGACCTCCAATTTTTATTGTTATTTCAAGATATTCAAGGGGGGACCAGGTATAGGAAAATCCTTCCTCAAAGGAATGACTCGTTAAGGCCTAGCCAAAGTACCACCCTCCTGGGGACGAGTTTGGTTCTTCTTGGCTGGAGCTGGGATCTAAAACAAGGATCCCCCTTTCTTAACTTTCAAAAGGGGACCGAACCTTTCCGGATGGAAGTTATGATGAACTTCCCTAAATGGTTGGCAGTCCTCTAGGGGTGAATCATTTCATGGGCCTTTTTACGTATTTAATAGTTTTCTTTCTTTTAAAGATGCATTTTTCATTTTCTTTGAATGAGTAAGAAGCACTGTATCAGTCAGTCCTGGATACTTTTAAAATGAACTTGACTTTAAAATCACAAGAGTACACGAAGAATTGGTATCAGTGATTACCTGATGACAGGGGTACTGGGAGCTGACTTGTGGCTGAGCAGACGTTTGTGGTAATGTCATTCATTCATAGTAAGCATGACAGTCATAATAAAGTGTCTGACCACTTCCTCGGGTTTACAAGGAAATGATATCCTATGTTGAGCAGTTCTTAGTTTCTTCATTCATTCCTTCTTTCAGTCATTTTCACAACAGCAAACATTCACCACAGCCTGGTGCTATGGTGGGCCCCAGACTCTGACTGTGAAGAAAACAGGGCCTGCCCTGCTGCGTTGTTTTTATTGGGCTTATGCAAGCCATCATTGTAGCCGATAGTTTTTGGTTTTGTGCTTTTTGTTGTTTTTCTAGGAATTAAAGAAACTCACAGAAGTATGGATTTGTTTGTGTATGTTGTATTGTCCTGGTTGTGTTCCCACTGCCTGGCAAGATACAGGAGGAAGGAGAACCGCTTGGGCTGGAAACTTTGGAACCTTGAGGCCCCAGTTCTGACAGCCTTCCTCCCCGCTCTCTTTCCTTTCAGCCCTGCAGTCCTTCATCCAGGCCTATGCAACCTACCCCAGGGAGCTGAAGCATATCTTCCACGTCAGATCCCTCCACCTCGGACATGTAGCTAAGAGCTTTGGCCTGAGAGATGCTCCCAAAAATCTTAGTGTCGCCACTAGAAAGAAGAAGAAAGTGCCCCTGAAGAGGTAAGAGGAACTGAACTAAATTTGTCCTGTGACAGGTGACTGAACATCCAGTAGGAGTAGAGAGTCGAGATGGGTGTAGGCTGAAATGCTCAGTGTAGATGCTTATTCATTAGATCTGCCCTTCTCTAATGAAACAGGCACTTGGAACAAGAGGAAATATACCTAATCTTGCAGAAATTCAGTGTCGTCTCCTGTTGGGCCCAAATGTTGTGGGGGATTCACAGGAGCAGCAAGACGAACTGTCGGGTTGTCTTGACTGTCTGCCATTTGAGTAACCCGGAACTTCACTGGTGCCACAGTCCACCCCAGAAGGCATCTGAAGTTCCTATGAAGACTTCCAGCATATTCCTGGCCTAGCCCTGGTGGCATGCCTGGTCTCAGTGAGAGGGGAGGAGCGAGTTCCTGAGCCTCAGCTTCCAGGAGCTGCCAAAGCCCAGGCTCCAAGGGCTGGCGCTAGGCTCCGTGGTGCTGAGATGCACCTCCAGGGCTGAGCACTCAAGCAGGAACAGTGACCTTTTCCCTCTCCTCCCAAAGACAGTGTATACGGGACTGTCCAGAGGTCACAGAGAGAGGAGAATCAGAGGAGTGCTGCCCTGCAGGTTGGAGCCTGGGCTCTGGGTCTGTCTTCACACTGCTGAGATGGCCTCCCTCAGCAAACTACGTCCGTGGAAGGTCTTCCTCTCCTCCGAGGCATGGTGTTATTTTAGCACCAGACCAGCCCCTACAGGAGCTAGAGCACCTGAGGCTCCATGAGCTGCTTTGGAGGGTGGCCAGGATTATGTAGGCAGTGGTGAGTGGGAAGGGCACATTGAACAGACGTTTGGGGCACAAAGACTTCTTCCACTTGCACTGATTCTCATGTGCAATTCTTGATCACTCTGGGTGGCGACTTTGCATTGTGTATTCTTCTTTTAATACGTGAATTACAGATGCCATCACATACCTGCCCTGACTCTGAGAATTGGTAGGTGGCACCACACTTTGCTGCGTGTTCCCACACAATGTTTGACTTGGAAACAGGAAGTGTTCATTACTCCATCAACCTGGTGAGGGCCTGGTTTCCCTAGCCTGTCGTAGCAAAGGGAGACAGACCACCTGGGGTATGGAGATGGCTGTCAGTCTTGGAGTTGGGGAGCTTGAACTGAAGTTCCAGTTTCCTTCTGATGTGTGTTCTGGACCTTTTTTAAACATTTTTTTTGATATGAGATCTTGCCATGTTGGCCAGGTTGGTATTGAACTCCTGTGCTCAAGCAGTTCTCCCACCTCAGCCTCCCAAAGTGCTGAGATTAAAATCATGAGCTACCATGCCCAGCCTGCATTTTCTTTTCTTTTCTTTTCTTTTCTTTTCTTTTCTTTTGAGTTGGAGTCTCACCCTGTCGCCCAGACTGGAGTGCAGTGGCCACTCCCGGCCAC